TTTTATTGGAATCATCTTTCTATATCTTCTGTGAATCACCAAAATTTATTTTTAAAAAAGTGATAAATTAAACATAAAATATTGTGAATGCATTGGTTGTATTTATTAACTGATGGACAAAGATTTTGCAAAATATTTTACAATTGTTAAAGAAATGATAGATATATGATGCTAAAATAATTAATTTATTTTGTCATAAAATCGCTTTTTTAGTTGAATTTTACCTTCAATAATGATTGAGATTTCATGATAGTGGTACGTGTTGAGGTGAAAATAAATGTGCTTTGAATCTATTCTTCTTTTTGTAATTTATACTTTTTATTTTTCAGTAATATTATTTTCTTAGATTCAAGAAGAATAAATAAAACATTTCCAAAGAACACATAACGATTGTATAATATTTTGCTATATTTTTATCCAAACAATTGTCCATTTGGTTAGGACGTCAGAACAACAAATTATTTTGAATTTTGTGTTGACAACAAATGTTTTAATATTTTGGTAGCTCAAGGAGTGTAACAATAGCGCATTTGAATAATGTAAATATATTCTAGTCATGACAGTAATTTTTTGCCTTTAAATTAATAATAATTATTTATTTACCAAAGATTTGATATCATTTATGTTATTAAACTAAGCTCATTAAACCTAATGGTAATAATTGGTAGAAAGATTTAATTCACAATTTACTTTTTAAAAAACACTTATAAAATAGAAATGATAATCTATATCATAGTTTAAAAGCACCAGCATTTAAAAGCATTCTATAAAATTTTTTGTTCCTTTTACAACTATTTTGTTATTTTTCTTTGATTTTTTAAAAAATAAAATATTTCACATACACACCATCATTCCTTAAAACTATAACTAACCTTTCTTAAAATTGTTAATTTTTTCCTAACGAATACATTGTCATATTTTGCATGGAACAGTAACTTAATGACTAGCATTATTTAACCTGAAATACATCATGTATTACCAAGTGTGGCCCAAAAAACAGAAATTGGAAATCGAATTAATGATTTTTGGGTCATACTTTTAAAAGATACAAGAATAACTAGAAAGCAACTTTTAATGAGTTAACAATTATTGTGAAATTCCATAAGAATAAAAGATTTTTAACAGATCATATTTATAGTAAAGTATTCGGCAAAAAAATAATTTTTATAAGAGAATACCATTTCAACCCTGTATTAGTAGCTTAGACAAATTTTATGTGTTCTGAAACATGTAGAAATTATTGTATCTATTTCTTCTTCTTTTAAAACTTCTCACATCCATCTATTTAAAGTATTTGAAACCTCTAGCACTTTGGAGGAAGATATCTTAGAAAATATTTTAACAAATATTCATTCATATGACGAAAATTCATCACTTGTTTATTACAGAAAATAAATGATTCTTGTTTGCTTGTTGGAGCTCAATGCGTAAAACTTTAAGGTAATTAACACCTGTAAATTACTTGTCTTTATCACTGACCTAAATTTAATTGATTTTCGTTCTTTTAATTCTAAATAAATTAAATTCTAATTTTTAACAAACAGCGATAAAGAGATGCCGGCATTTTGTAGATAGCAGTGCAAAAAATCTCAAGACGAATATGTGTTAATAAAGAAATTATTCCAAATACAAATTATAGCCAATCAAAATGTACTAACATTAACATAGCCAACGTTCTAGACCTGTTTTGACAGCCAGTCTATCAATTGCTACGTGCAGTGGCCTATACCATACTCTGATGAATACCTACAAAGTGGGTCGAAACATTGGCATAACCATTAAAATCCTATTGTAAAAAATTTAGTATTTATTTGACTGTATCCCCCCAACCAACTCCTTCTCAAAGGCTTTAGTGAAATTGACAGAACTTTTAAATAAAATTAAAAAAAAAATAAAAGTATGTAAAACCTTTACTTGAAAAGTAGCAAGAGAAAAATTCTAGTTCCAAAAGAATTATTCTAAAAGATTTACATTTATTTTTTTTTTGTATTTTTTCTAAAAGGGTTTATTTATATTTTACCATTGTACATAGTTTTAAGTATCTTAGTATGGTTTCGAGAGTTTTGTATATAGATTATTTTGTATATATTATGTATAACGAATTTTTTTTTTTGTTTTTTTACTGATTTATCTTTATCTTTACTTTTTATGTTTGTTTTTATCTGGCCAGATGTAAAATTTTAATTTCTGTACTTTTTTGTTATTCTGAAGGAACTTCATCCCAGAATAAAATTATTTTCTATTCTATTCTAAAAACCACCGATAGTAAAAATTCTAGTGATACCATAAGCTTTTTAAAATAAAAGTTTTTTCCGTTTCAAATCTTGATTTTTATTTTTTCAGTCTAGCCCAGTGAAAAATTGTGCAATATAATTAGTCCATACCAACCATATATTTATTTCATATATTTATCCTCAGTTCTAAGTGTAACTCATATATTTATTTCATTTAATTTTATTTTGTCTTCAAGTAATTTGTTCTATGAATCATATTACGACATATTTCATTTGTTTATTTATTCATTATGGCTCATATTTATCCGATATATTGATGGTAGTTCTCACTCAAAACTTCAAAAAGTTTCATGATTCTTGTCTTTGATAAATCTTCTTCTTCTTTAGCTTTCCTCTTTAGTGCCTTTCAGTGTAGAGTACCATTCAGCCAGGAATTCCATTCTTCCCTATTTCTAGCTAGGTTCCTTGCCTGTCGGAGGTCCTTCTCCCTCGCCCTACAGAGTCGCTCAATGTAGTCAAGATAGGACATTCTAGGGCGGCCCCTAGGACTTCTGCCATGTGGGACATATTCCATGGTCTTTAGAGGATCTCTGTGGTCGTCCATCCTGATAGCATAGCCGAACCACTTTAGCTGACGATTTTCTTGGAGCTCTTTCAGTGGGGCTATCTGCAGTTCCTGATGAATACTTTCATTGCGAACTTGGTCTCTCCTTGTTTTCCCTACTATTCTTTGCAGAAATTTGATTTTGGCAGCATTGATTCTACTTTCCTGTCGGTCTGTTAGTATCCAGCTCTCCGCTCCATACAAAAATATGAGTAGATATACCGTCTTGAAGATGTGTAGCTTGACGTCTTTGCCTACTTCTCTCTTCCCTATCACAGTGTTACAAATCTGTTAGTAAACTGTATTTGCCTTATTATTCCTGTTTGATACTTCCGCGTCTACCTTCCCAGATCCGTCTATCACTGTACCCAGGTATGTGAAGTCTGTCACCACTTCTAATTCTTCTCCATTACAGTATATGTGGATATCTTCCTTCTTTCTTCCGATTTGTAGGATCTTACTTTTGTTGGTATTTATAAGCATCCCTTTTCATTGGAGTTCATCATACCATTCCATAACTGCCAATTGCAACTTTTCCACTGAGTCAGTAATCAATACCACATCGTCGGCGTAGAGGAGAAGTTGTATCACTACAGGATTAAGATTCCTACGCCAAAGGAATGTCCTGTCCGTTCTTCTATTACAGATGAATGCCACTTCATCCATGAATAACAAGAACAACAATGGGCTTAGACTATATCCTTATTTCACCCCCTTTGCAATATTGAAACAACCCAATGCTAGCCCGTTCAGCCTGACTATTCCTTTGGGCTCTTGATATATAAATTTTATGGCCTCTGTCAGATTTCTCGGAACATTCTTTGATCTGAGTGCAGGTACCCAGTGCTGGGGGATATAGCCCGGCCACCCTTACTCCTGAGGGGACATAAATATTCAGGAGGCCAGTTGTCCCGAGGATACGCGGCCTCTCCTACTGGGCTAATCACCTGTAGGAGAGAATCATCGATTCAGAGAAAATTAGCAACAAGCCTCGGAATTGGACAGTCTTTAATAAATCAAGTTTTGATAATTAACTAATTATAACCTCAATAAAAAATTTAACATCATGAGATTTGTGTTATTGAAGTCTGACTGTAGGTAAAAAAAAAAAAGATTTCTGTGTTTTTTTTTTTGTAAAATTGAGTACTTGATAAGGAGATGCTATTTCTTAATGGAGAGTTTAAAAAGGCACTGATATGATCTCTATATCATACAGTATTTTAATTGTTTTTATTTATTATTATTTATTTTTAAGAGAAAAGTATAAAATAATTAATTGTGGGTTGATGGTTGACTGTAGTGAATAATAAAAATAAGGATAGTTGGGATGATCAGTCAAAATAAAAATGGCAAAAATAAATATTTTGACTGATCACACCAACTATCCTTATCTTCATTATAAAATAATTAATTTTTTTCATTAAAATTTTGATAAAAAAAAAAATAAATGAAGAAGATAAAATCAATAAAAATGAAGACAAAGTTTACTAAATGCCTAAAACTACCAATACAGTGTTAAGGGAGAAAAAAATATATATTAAACAAAATTATAGTATACTGGAAAATTAAATTATTTCTTCGGATTTTATTGAGTTGAGTTCCATTGATAACGATGAAAAGTGTACATAATTAAACAACTTGAATAATAACTTTTTTATTATCCATTGATAATCTGAAAAATTTTAACCCCTCTCTCTATGTTACTTATATCTTACACCTCAAAAGACATTTATTTATTGTTCATTGTTTGTATTGCGATATGATTGAATTTTGTGTAATTTAAATTATCTATATGCTCTAAAAATCTATTTTGTATTATATTTTTATTAAATTACTATGGTAACGGTTTAAGAACTATTTGCAGACCTGTACTTATCATTGAACTAACATTAAATACAGTTTTCGGTTAGTAAAAAATCAAAGTTTTATTAAACTTGTATTAATCTTCTTTGCTTAATGTTAAAATGCTCAATGTTAAAAAACAGAAAAAAAATTGTAACTGCTATTTGAGCAAGTGTCCATAATCAGTGGAATTCAATTCAAAGATAATATGAAATAATGTAATTTTCCTTAGATATTTTAAAAGATTAAACAATAAATTTCAATGATCATATTGAAATAAATTTTTTTTTAGAAAGCAAAACTAATGATTTCCGACATTAGTTTTTCTTGAAAGACCCATGTTTAGAAAGTACTTTTGTGACCAAAATTATCAAATAAATAAATTATTTTTCTGAATGAATTAAAATATTTTAGGTAAACACATGGTTACTCCAGTATCTTGTATCTTGTTTTTAACCAACATAGCATTAAAAAAACAAAATATTTTTGTTATAGTTAAGTATCTCATCTTCTTCAAAGATTATTATTTTCGTAGACCTTTGTTCTGTATTAAAAAAAAATTATGTTACAGAAGGTCCTTGTTGAAGTAACTTAGTTCCAAGCGATTATGCTCCGAGTTTTGTCATTGTCGACCTGATCCAGTGCGTAAAACTGGCAACACGTGTGTAAACTCCAGGTCTGTTTTTCTTCGCACAACCGTCACCCCATGATACAACTCCGGCAAGGACAAATTTTCCTGTAAGAATACATTATTGTATTAGAATAAATGTCTCTCTAGAATTCTAATTTAAAATACTTATAAATTATAATTCTAGTAAATTAAAAGTAATTATAACAATAACATGATTTACCAACGGGGGTGGGCAACCTTTATGTAACACATGTCATAATTAAAGGTTTCCCATTTGAGATATGATAGAGTTGTCACGTTCATAATTATTAATTCAATGTAGTATAGGTACATCTTTGTAAATAATTTTTTCCTATTTTAAATTTTCCTTAATAATGAAGTAAAGAATTAAAGTGTTAATTAATTTATTTCAATTATATAATTATATATTATATTATCTTTTAAAAAAATAATAAAAATAAAACGAGAATAATAATGCTTTAGGGAATAATTTTTTTATATTTTTTCTTGACATGTGCTTACATTTACTAACTGAAATACGTGTGTTATAATTTAAAAATAGTAGGTATTTAAATTTTAATGTACATATTTATAACTTATAGTATTTATTTAGTTCAGACCACTCAAAGAAACAAATATGGATCAGTAAAAAAAAATATATATTTTTTCAATTTGGGGAGGCTTCAGCTCAAAAGAATCCCTTTGGATCCACCATTGAGTAGTCTATTATATAGTTTTTAAAGATGTTTTCATTTATTTATTTTTAATTGTTAATGTTTTCATTAATTAATGTTTTCATTTAATTATTTTTAGTTATTTTATAGATTATTTGAAAATGACTAATAAAAGCTGAAGCGTTATATTATATATTAAATAAAAGGTTTTTTTTTTTTTGTTAAAAAGATTTTTTATTGTTGAAAGATAATTTTGGCAGTATCATCGTTCTTTTAAAACCTAATCCATTAGTGATTAAATGTAATAACTAAATAAGCGCCCTACTAAAAATTAATAACGAAAATAAGTTTGCTTATAATAAAAATTCTAACCGTGTTCTTGGCAAGCCAACGGTCCTCCCGAGTCACCACCACATGCATCAACACCGCCCTCTAGGAGTCCTGCACAAAGCATGCTGTCCAATATTGATTGGTGCCTTCCACCGTAGACCTCTGATCCTCGACATGTTGACAGTGACAAAAGGGGTACTGAAGCTGCCCTCAGTGTCGTACTCAGGCTGTCCGAGTCACCAGCTGAAAATAAGATTTTCAGTGCAGTTTCCAAAAGATGAAGATAATTTAATTATTGAATAAAATAATATTTAGGAATGATAGAAAGTATGGTTTCATATATGAGTTACATTTGTATATTGAAATTTACTGGTAAAGGTTTTTCATATGGATATAATATCATATCTTTGATTTATTGTTAAAAGTCAATAAGAAGCATTTCACAAAATTAAATCATTGAGTATTTTGATGAAATTTACATTTGTGATATCAGTAAATATTTTAATTAATTTTGAGATAATTTTAATTATATTTGAAAGACAATTAAACTAGTTCTCATAATTAAATTGATTATCATATGATATATCATTGTTTATTGCAAAAATTCATTAAGTGACATTACCTGAAATTACTAAGAACTTTGAAAAATTTTCCCTTTCTGAAATCAAAAAGTTGAACGCTAGTAAATATTTTATATCTATAACAGGTTTTGTGTCATTTTAGTGTACTTATTATGTTTTTATCAATAAATAAGATTGAAATTCTTCAAAGTTCAGCTCTTATTGTTGACTTTTTGCAATAAACTGATTATTTGTTTAAGGTTTTTACATTTCTTTACTTTATAATACGTTTAAAAGATTATTAAATAAGAAAAAATATTACGTTGCTGAGCTCCCCACCCTGTTACTGTACACCATTGTCCCTCTCTCGGTTGATGTTCATCAGGAAGACAGATTGGCTGGACAAAATTGTTGAAGTCGATTCCTGCATCGTTTGTTGATTTTACTTTGATCAAAGCAATGTCATTACTGTGTGGACCATCTGTAATAGAATTTTAAAAAAATTAAAATTGTAATTAAATATTATATTCAGATTTGCTTTAAAATTATCTTAACTGTAACATTTATAATTTAATTATAACTTTTATTAGATATATTTATAAATTACATAGGTTCTTCAGTTATGGTATAGAAATAATTTTTAAAAATCAAGGAAATGGTCTGGAAGTTGGTCAGTATCAATAATATCATATAAGTACTCATATTGTATTGCCCATACCAGTGATGAAATAAAGATAAAAAGAAGAATAGTATACTTGTTGCAGGAAAAGTCCTGAACATCTCGAAAATGTAAAACACAGTACGTATATCCGCTGGAAGAGATTACTAGGCACATACATTAATTTAATTTCAATAAATAGGTTCATAGATTGGACAAATACAATGAAATTCTGACCTTTCCTGAACTCTGGGTGAATAACCACTCTCTCTGGCTTATAGAACCTTTCATGGCGATCTTTGTTCCTCAGGTTGTGCTTGCCAAGAGCGAGACGCATTCCAGATGGTGTGTCTAAGTTGGTGATACAGTGGGCTGCAGTCAGAATAATGCGAGGGCCGACCACAGCGCCTCCGCAATGGTGTTTGTATTTCCCTTCTGACCATGACTGAATTTCAACCTGCACAAAAAATTTTATTGATATTTTATACAAGGACATATTTTATTCACTGAATAAATTGTCAATGATAAGTTAAATTAAGAATCTAAATAAATAGTATAGTATTTCATTGTAACTCTATTTTAATTATATTGTTTTAATATAATTATTCAACATAATACAGAGAAAGCAATATGAAGTTCAATAAAAAAACCAAGTAACACATTGCAGACTGTTATTACAAAAAAACTACTTTTTATTATCAGTTTAGGTTAGCATTAAATATTAATTATTTTTTTCCAAATAGGTTAACATACATAATATTAAAACATAATTTTCATCAGTCATGAATACTCTTATTTATATTTTTTAACTTATAAGTTTGGTATGTAGTAGAAGAATTAATCTGTGCTCTATGAAATTCTGAAGTTCCATGCAACCTTTATAACAATTTCATAATGTTTTTTTTTTTTTTAACGGTATCAAAATGGAGTTGAGGAAGGATTTATAAGAAGTACATGACTGGTTGGCATAGGCGAATCTACCGGGAAGAGGCTTTCGGGCTGAAGCCCCCAAAATGGTAAAATATAACCATGTCTTATGAAAAAAAAAATCAATAATTACCTCGAAAAGTATTATTGTTCTTGTAATTACAGTTAATAGTACTTAAAGAATCACTTAAACTTTATTTCAAGCAGGTAGTTAGTTTATTTATTTTTCCTCCTAAGTAAATATCATTATATATTTTAAAAAATAGTCTTTCGGGCTGAAGCCCCCAAAACTAAATCCTGGATCCGCTAGTGCTGTTTGGAGATAAAATACCTATCTATCAAATCTTTTTTGTAACCTATTTGCAATTATCAGGACTTTTTCAGAACTTATAAAAAAAAATATTCAGTGTTTAGAAACAAATTAAAATTTATTTGTATCCAATATTATACTGTTGTTATTTTATGTTACCAATAATTGGTGGTAGTAAAGAGACTATCTAAAACACAAAAGCTTCTTCATTTTATGGTGTAGTAAGGAATAAAATGAAATGCTATAATTTATTTACTGAGGTTCCACACCAGATAATCAGGTTTATAATGTTAGTAACATATTCATGTTGGACAAATTGGATTCTTAATCATCATATACTTATCAAACATCAAAACAACTCAAATATATTTCTAAAAACACTACATCATTTATTTATTAAGTTTATTATTTTTAATGAGGAATTATTCCTGAAAGTATTTTAACAATAATGAGGGATCTATATGTACATCCTGAACAAGGAAGTAGTTTTCATTTTTTTTTTTCCAATTTCACTTATGCATAAGAGCAATTTTTATTTAAAAAAAAAAAAAAAACCAATAGATGCATGGGAAAATAGTAAATTTATGTAAATTATATCTTAAAAATTAAACAAAATACCTTTGCCAAAAGAAATAATTGAAACGTTTAAGTTAAAATGTCTTTACAAAAATCACTAATAAAGGCCAGCACTACTTGCTAAGTTATGGTAAGATAGTTAAAGTAACTGTTGAGAGAGGTCAGCACTATACAACGGATTCATTAGAAATACCATAATAATAACAAAAGTTTATTAACTTATTTTCTTATGATTAAAATAATTTATGTATATTATATAAATTATACATATATATATATATATATATATATATATATATATATATATATATATATATATATATACATATATATAAAATAAATAATATATATAATTATATAACTGTGAGCATAGCCCAATAGCAAGCCTGCTAGAGAGGGATGCCATGAAAAGTTGAATATCAGCTTTTGGTAAGTTTCATTTGATTAAACTATCATTTTCATCATTTATTTGTAATTCTTATTTAGTTAATCTATATTTTTTTTTTGTACTATCATTAATTATTTGAAATTAATGATATTTTTTTATATATTGTAGTTTAAGTTGACATCTTCACTGACTTAGTGACTCTTGCTTGATCAGTTATAAAAATACTTTAATTTTTGGAAAGAAAAATAGAGCATATCAATTCTTGAATAATTAATTATATCATTGGTTTATTATAAATTGTCAGGAAGTACATTGTTGAGGAAGTTAAACTTTTAAGTATTGTTTTGTGAATTTGAATCTAATTATCAATAAACAAACAAAATAAGTGCATCAAAACTACAAAAATTCTTTTGTGTATCAAGAATAGTCAATTTAAATGCACAGAGAGAATATTCATCAAAGTAATTTTATGAAATGCTATTTGATTCTATTTTGCTATAAACCGATGACATGACCTTTTTTTAAACAAAAATTATTAGGCTAATTAAAGAATAAATTTTGTTTTATGTCCACTGGAAATAATTTAATACATACTATTCCAGTAGTGATTTGTTTATAAATAATTTTGTTTTTTTCAATTTATATTATTTAATTTTTAAAATTTATTTATTTTTAATTTATAAAGTTCCTTTCTACCACACAGTTATTGGCGATTCATTGGTTTTTTTACATTATGATTTATTTACTTTTATATAATGTTTGATGAGATTACTTTGTTATTTTCAAGAAGTTATTTACTGGTATTATTACTTTATAAGAATCATGCAGGATTTCTTGTTTAGTTTATTCCTTTTGGTGTTTAAACTCTACTAGTGAAATGTTTCATTGCACTTGAGATAGTTAAAAGATTCCAGGATAAAGGATAAACGAAAACTGACCTAACGCCTGGGGGAGGTATAGTTTGAAAATTATAAATAAATAGTTTGAAAATAAAATTATGAATAGTTTATTTTATTGTTTGTATTGTGCATAATCAATCAGTAGGATCTGTGTGAAATGGGGCTCACATTATCTATATGAGATTCTAAAATCTATGTTCACTTCAAATAATATAAGAATAATGTTTAATTTCCTTGATTTTTAATACATTTTACTATCCGTAACTACAAATTAAAGATCCTGATCTTCTGCATCAGTCTAATAGGTCTCAAATAGTACAATACTGAATTATTATTAATTTGTTTACTTCATTTTCATGATAATGTACTGTTTATACAAAAATAATATATTGTTCCCACTCAAGTACATACCACCCTGGGAGGATCAGACTAAAGGGGGCACATGGCACTTGATATCAATTTAAAAATAAATTACAAAGTGTATGAGAATAATTTATATTAACCTATTAATGAAAGAACTCAATTATTGACATATTAGATAAAATAAAATTCAAATATTACTTAATATAAGACAGCTTAAGAAATTAATTTCATTTGTTGGGGATACAATTATAATTGCCTTGAGGGAGAGAGGAGGCGAGGGGGTGGAAATTTACTTAATATTGCTTATACACGGAATGTATTATGGAGCTTGATAGATTTGGAATGTGAGAGTCCTAGATCGGATTTATTAGTTCACCAAACAGTAATAACTTTATCAAACACTGCATTTTTAAGTTGTGTCATGAGTGCTACGGAGAATGATATATTCAGGCTATTTTTTTTATAAATTGGGCCTCTCCAAACTGCGCCCCTAACAAAGCTACGTCCTGCTATACTGGAGGGCATCGACACTATGATTCGCAGGAGCGTAAAGGCCATTATTGGACTCCCTGCGAATACTTCCACAGCGATGTTGTATGCCCCCAGGAGATACCGAGGATTGGGATTAATCCGCTGCCAATGGGAGGCTCCTCTTCAACATTGGTCCATTGCTCAGCGACTGTCCAATGTACCAGATGCCCTTTTTCAGTCTACCTTCGATTATTCGGCTGAAATTGCTGAATGTGCCGAGAGATTGGGGGTTGATCAGGGTCATCGAAATGTGAAAGCTCTACGGCAGTCGCTACGAGAAAATGCATTTGAGGAATGGGCCAACTGCAGGTGGCAGGGTATTGGTGTTCGCCATTTTAAAGAGACCCCGAAAGCGAATAGATACATCTACGAAAAGCAAGTACTTTCTGGGTCTGAATGGTCGAATGCCCTAAAACTAAACATTAATTATGCACCCCTGCGTGGAGTCCCAGGAGTCAGCGGACAGGTCAGAGAAGTTGGGTCCCTCTGCCGTAAATGCGGCAGAGAGTCTGAAACACCAGCACATGTGCTGGGAAAATGCCCCAACAACTCCCTCCTCATAACACGTCGTCACCACCGGGTCAAGGTCGAATTGATGAGGCTCCTTAGGGAAAAAAAATTCACCTGCTTTGACGAGGTATATTGCATCGTTAGTGAGGGCTCTACGAGATACGCTGATATCGTCGCATTTCCCAAGACAGGAAGGACAGCGCTGATCTTGGATCCAACTGTCCGCTTTGAGAGCAATGACCTCGATCAGGCGGGTGAAGTGGAAAGGGAAAAGAAGAACACGTACGATAAATGTATCCCTTTCCTAAAAGAGAAATTCCGTGAGACCTTCGGAGAGAGAGAGTTCACCGTGAGAGGCCTCTGGTTTGGGTCTCGCGGAACTATCCCAAAAAGAACAAGGAGCTTCCTCGAGGAACTAGGTGTCGACATTAAGGACGTAGCGAGGTTGGCTGAAAATATAGTCCTCGACTCCCTGGGAATCATTCACCACCACGTGCATGGCTAGCCCGAGAGTTTTAATTTATGTATTTGTTTATTTATTTATTTAGTGAATAATTGAAAACAATAGCGATAAAGAGAGAGAAGTGAGAGAAAGGGAAACTTAATGTTAAATAAAAAAAAAAAAAAAAAGCATGAACAATGAGAAGAAGGAAAAAGGAAAAAAAAAAAAAAAAAAAAATTATAAAGATAAATAAAATAATAAAAATGTATATATATATATATTTCTGTTTTACTAATATTAACTAATACTTCTGTATATTTATATATAAGTTCATATATTGTCTTAAGGATAGAAGAGTATGCTGTGTGTATAGCAACCCAATGGAATTGGGCAGCAATCCCTTATATTTTATATTTTATGAAAATAAAGTGTTTCTCTCTCTAGAGGATATTTTTAAGTGTTTTCATTTACTAGGATTTCATACCCCTGGATCAAACCAGCTAAACGAACAGTCTCTGGGCTTGTGTATTGCATTGTGCAATGCTTGAAACCTAACAATAACGTGACGACTAAAGTTCTACTATCCTGCGAAAGTTACCATGCAAATTCTAGTATCAGGTGAAAAAAAACATAGATTTTGATTTTGAGGAGGAGGAGGGGTGAGATGTGCCCTTCTAATTTCGGCCGACAAAGTTTTTTAGCGATTAGGTGGTATGCAATTTCATGTTGAATGATGTTTTTCAACATAAAATAAACTGAATGAAACAACAATTTGGATTTTTAATTTCTTTAAAAATCTATTTTAAACATCACTTCTTATTGCCAATTTGTGAACATAATATATGTTCAACTTGTCAACTTCATATAAGCCCAACAGTAATTTGAGCCTTTTATTTCTAATATTTTCATTGTATGTTATAATATGCTTCTTTTTTTTTATGACATATAAAAAGAAGCATATAACATACAATGAAAATATTAGAAATAAAGGGTTCAAATTATTGTTGGGCTTATATGAAGTTGACAAATTGAATATATATATATATATTTTTTTTTTAAATTTATTTATTTAGCATTATAACAATCTGTCACGTGGACAAGTGATAAATGAACACATTCACACTATATATACAGAAAATATAAAATTAACAAAAGTAAAATAATAATCAAAATCTATGTACAATAAAAAAAAATGCTGCAAATTATTCCACAATGGTTTATTATTTCCAGACAATTATACATCTAAATTAATATTACCTTCATAGTTACAAAGAAAAATAAATAAAAGGTGATTCCAATTATTGGACTAAACTTTTTTTTTAATCATTGGTAATATGCTAAAAAAATAGCATTACATCAGTAACATATTCAAAATTTAAAAACCAAACAAAAGATATAACATTTGGAGTAGAACATATTTTAAAAACCGGAGACCATATCTTTGCTCCTAATAATCCGATTTTAACGATTGTTTTTTTTTTGTTTTTAGGAAATTTCGTAAACTTTTAAAAAACCATTACATTATCAACAAAAAAGTGTAAACTTTTTGAGTTATTCGGAATTTAATTTTACCATTTCTCGTAACTTTTTTCCCAGCTTCTTTTCGTTGAAGTATGTTATATAAATAAATTTAAAGGGTGTCAAGAAAATGACTTTAGCGAAGTTTCAATTGAAATCGGTACATTCGTTTGGGAGCTACGGTCTATAGCAACACAGGTTTTTCGGCCGTCATTTTGAAAGAAAAAGGCGGATGGCAATGTCGATGAAGGAGGATCATCCTCGAATGACCTCTGATTTTATATCCAAATTTGAAAAAAATCGGTCCAGTAGTTTCGGAGAAAATGCACGGACGGCGGACGGACAAAAAAAATTTGATTCGTTTTTCGAATTCTACGCATTCTGAAACGTGAAACCTCAAATTTCGAGAGGGGGTTAAGTTTTTGAATTTTTTGTTCGATCACAATAGTTGATTATTGAAAATAATAAACCAATAAAGTAACCTAAAGATAAGTAAATTAAAAAACATAAAAACACAGTCGTACCTATATACGGAATATATATTATGTTCACAAATTGGCAATAAGAAGTGATGTATAAAATAGATTTTTAAAAAAATTAAAAATATTACTGTCTGAACTACAGAATATAAAATTTGATCAACGAATAGTACAATTAAATGAACAGTTGTATAATTTATAAAATGGGGGCTGATTGGTCATTAGGCTGACAGAGGGTAACTCCCAGGTTTCAATAAAATATGGTTTCCTCGACGGAGTTCTCTTCAAGAACCACCACCTGCGGAAGGTGTGGACATTGAAAGTGGCGACCATAACGGAGGCGTTTTCACCGCATGTGATTGATCGATTGTGGACAGAAATAGGAAACGGCAAGGACGGGGGCACCGAGGAACGGATCCGCCGGCTTCGGCGATTGTGCAATAGCTATCGATTACTAATGGACCTTATTCGCTTTCTATCACTGCCTATTTATCAAGGTCGATGCTTGACAATCGGATAGGAGAACAATCGATAGTTCATAATGCGCTTGCACCCGTCAGTTTCTCTTGACCCGTTTGTGGATTTAATTGTTAAAAGCAAGCAGATGACTGCGGCCATTGTTGTAATAACGATGTTCAAACTAGTGTGGAACAGTGGCGTAATGAGAACTACTGATTGCTGCACTATTTTTTTTATTATTCTTTAAGTAAATATACATTAAACCATAAATAATTGATAAGTTATGACTTTTTTTACTTTTCGACGAATCTATACGTTTCACAACCCCCTGAGTTCGAAAAACACATTTTTAGTCATTGGTCGGTCGGTAATGAAATTCCCTACAAAGCCATATAAAAATCGTTCATTCTGGACAACTATTAACGAAGTTACAGCTATTCAATTTCCAATGAAAGATTATGAGTTCATTTCCTGGTGTCAGAAAGGGGTGAATGAGAGAATAAAGATGACTAAGTGAAAGTAAGAAAATCTGTTGTCTGCATCACACAATCTTCACTATTTCCTCTACTTTTAATGGAAATTATTGTTTGACAATACTAAGCTATGGCAAAAAGTTTTTGATCAGTAATATTAGTGAGTATTGAAATTTTTACACTGATCTACCTTAAGCCGGTTTCATTGCTTTTGTTTATGAAATTAATCGTACTCAGATCTTTTCTTTGATAAATTTTCAGGAAAATAAATTTAGTTCAATTCTTTTTTGTTTCTTCATGAACATATGTAAAGATATAAAAACTCTTCTTAAATAGGTAGGAAAGTCGTGTGAGTGGACATCACCAGATATTTTTCTTTTTGGATTTATAGATGTTTCTCGATCTATTTCTTCCCAGTTATCTACTTACAGCTCTATTGCTTCTTTGTTGATCTTATCTATCCAACTGGTTTTTGGCCTCTCATGTGGTCCACCATCCTTTGTTGTATAGTGGCTAGGGATGGGATATCGAAATAGTCATCGATATCAACATCCTATAACTATCGATACCATCAAAATATCGGACTGGAAATATCGATAGTCGATATTATAAATATTTTTGAAATGGAGGAGGAGATGGGTAGAGCACCCTTGGAGAAATTCGCTGACATGGTTGTGAAGTGGTGAGAGGGTAAGTTGTAAAACCAAAACAAAACTTGGAATATTATATCCTCTTTAAAATTAATTAATAGAAATATCAATCTTCTACCCTCCTTATTAAAATTAAGTTTATAATTCCTGTACATATTCAGTTTTTTTTTTGCAGAAATTTCCATTCAATGAATTATGCCTTCCATTCACCGATAGAACGGATATAGTGAAATTAATAAACTATTAGTTGTCTTTGTTAATAATTCGCATATTATATTGGTCAGTGAGCCAAGTTATTCGATTCCGCCGTCCTTCATACATCTACGAGCTCCTTCAATTCAAATCCTCTTCTGACGTTTTAAAGGGATGTGCTTATTTCTCCTTGATGAAAAAGAAGAAGAAAAGAAACCTTAAAAACGTTGGCTCTATCATTGGATTTTACGAAGCATTAACAAAGAAATGATGTATAAAGACAATAAATGAACAATCTATCAATATAATTAACTTAAACTGACAATCATTGCTCTGAGAATTTATCCTGAATATGAGATTTCTTGATTTTTTTTTAGGGATTTCAATACATTTCAAAGGGAGAAGAAAGCTCTGTTTGCGCTAGTTGTACGATGGAATATTTCAGACCGTTGGTCATTCATTGAAGTTATTGTGAAGCCGAGGTATTTGTATTTTTCTACTCTCGGGAACGATTCTTCTTCAACGCAGATCCTGTTAATGAGGAGGAATAACAGAGATATTTTTTTCTCGACTCTTATGAGGTATTGGTAAAAATCCTCGGATACATAACTAATATTTTTCGACCTAGTATCACTAAGAATAGTTCTATTGAAACCGGTAATCCTGTGTCTGAAACATCCCCTTTTTAGTGTAGTATGTTATTACATGATGATATATTAGAAGTGCGATATATCCTTGAAGATACGATACCTGCCAGGGGTAGGCGCCGTAGGGGGCGTTGGTGCCGCCGACGATCTTGGCCGAAGCTCCTCCTGTTCCCCCCCGCAGCGGTTGGTGGGACACCGTCCTCGCGCCGCAGTGCCCGCTCGAGTAGGCGCTCTCGCTCGGGAACTTGGGGAACCCGCCGCTGCGCCAGTCGCTCTCATCTGCAAACAATCAAAGGATTACGTTATCATAGGATCTAGGAAATAAAAAATCTAAAGATGTTAAATAGTGTTATAGTAAAACCCACAGAATAAGTCATATAATATGCAGTATGAAATCCTGAAATATCCAGCTATATATGCGGTAAAAAAAAACATGGAAAATCCAGTAACTGGTCTCTATACATACTAAACTTACTAATTACTTAATAACTAATAAGGCAACAACGTATTTAAAACGTGCCTACAAAAAGTTTAGAAACGAAAAAAAATTATGGAGATGTTGAAAATTACAATAATTTAGATTGAATATTTAATAGTTGACCGTTGCATTATAAAGTAAGGAGATGGTCCGAGGTGGTGGACATAAATAGGCTAAATAGTGGTAAAACTATTTTATTAAAAGCCAACGTTTCGACCCGACTTTGCAGGTCATCTTCAGGAAGATATGTTCAGCTAGGAGTTTCACTTATAACTCAAGTTCAGTTATTTTTAAAAGAACAATAAAAGACATTACAAATGTTTGCAGTAGTAACTCTTTATATACTCATACATATCAAAACCAGGAAATAAAAATACTAAGAACAACTGAAGTGAGATACTTCCAGAGCGTATCCGATCTTCCGTTATTTAAACAATCAAATTGACACAATATATAACAAAAATAATTGAAATAATGTATAAAAAATCAAGGTAGAGAAGTTGAGGATTGCAATCACAGTGAAATACACAAACGATATTTCTTTAAAGATATCATTGATAGATCGCTAAATAAAATACAATACAATACCGTTCTGGTTACTAAAGTAAATATTTTTTCAAGGAGAAACAAAGTTGATTCGTTTTTCGCAACTCAGAGTACACTCGAAAAATTAAAATTTTCTGCACGAAACTTTTGTAGTGACTGGAACCTTTTTCGACAAACATAAAAATTGTGATAACTTTAGAACGGCTTCACCTATCCAAACAAAAAGATATATGTGTATATCGTGGAATGGTGTGTAAGTAATGAATTTTCGTTCAACAGACCTGTTGTAAACATAATCTAGACAATGAAACTCCTAGCTAGGACACATCTCTCTGAAAAAGACCTGCAAAGTCGGATCGAAACGTTGGCTTTTAATAAAATAGTTTTACCACTATTTAGCCTGTTTATGACCGCCGCCCCGGACCATCTCCTTCCTTTATAATGCAACGGTCAACTATTATATATTCGATTTATTATTATTTATAATCATCCATGCAATTAAGGGATTATGGGTTTTGCAGAACTGAATCGTTATGCATTGCTCCATAATTTATTACTCCTACAATGATACTATTTATTTATTATAATCAGCTGTACAGCAGAAATATTCAGGTGTTTATGAATTCTTCTTCCGCTCATCCTCGTTCCGGCGGTCTTCCAGGATCGGGTCCTATTTTTGTGAGGTTGAAGTGTGCGGGTAGTATGAGTAATTTCCTTCTGTAACTAGCAGAGGGAAATCGAGAATATCTCTATGAGACCGGCCCCCTCAGCAATTTGGCCCTTAGAGACTCAAAGGCGACGAAAAAATGGTGAAATTGAGTGATATAATGAAAAACGAGAACATAAGGCACGCAACTAAAGTAAAGGATATCAAAGAGGTGATTTTAAAACTAAAATGGCAATGTTTTGGCACGTGACACGGATGGATGATGAAAGGTAAACAAAGAAAGTGACGGGAAACTGGGGGAGCTCATTGCTCAATATTAGGTTTAATTCATATTTAGATAGATAGAAAATAACTTTATTCTGAGAAATAGTCCTTTGAGAATAAAAAAAATAAAAGATTACATCTGGTCAAAATAAAATCAATCCAAAAAAAAAGAAATAATGTAAAGAAAATATAAGGTAAAAATTCTATATACAAAACAATTAACACTATGATAAGACACTTACAGCTATTTGCACTGATAGACCAATATACACTTTTAAGAAAACAATAAAGAATTAAAAAATAAAAATATATTAAATTCTTTATTAAAATCAGCTTTGTGTTTCTGTTGAGAAAACAGAAAGCTGAATCTGACAATATAAAGTGCCTGATTAATATATAAATACATCACTAGCGGATCCAGGATTTAATTTTGGGGGGCTTCAGTCCGAAAGATTCTTTTTTAATAAAAATAACGATAATTACTTTGGAAAAAAAGAAAGAAGCTACCTGTATGAAATAGTGTTTAAGTGATTCCTAAAGCCCTTTAAAATGTAATTACACGAACAATAATACTTTAACAGATACTTTTTAAATATTTTTTAGATAAAACATGGTTATATTTTGGCGTTTTGGGGGAAGGGCTTCAGCCCGAAAGCCCCCCCGTAGATCCGCCCGTGAAATACATTATCATTTATTATTGATATTTGACAATGAATGGCATGATAACATGCTCAGCAGTCTCCGAGATACCACAGCTAGGGCCACTAGCGGATCCAGGAATTAATTTTGGAGGGGGGGGGCTTCAGCCCGAAAGATTTTTTTTTCATATACATATAACGATAATTAATTTGAAAAAAAAAAACAAATTAATTAATTACCCGTATGAAATGGTGTTTAAGTGGTTCTTGAAGTCCTATTAAATATAATTACACGAACAAGAATACTTTGAGAGATAGGTTTTAATATTTATTTCTGTAAAACATGGTATTATTTTACCATTTTGGGGGGGGGCTTCAGTCCGAAAGCTCCCCCTCCCCGTAGATCCGCCTGTGGCTAGCGCATAGAGGATAGGCCATGAACCTTGGCTCGAAAGCCCTCATGCACTGTGAGGAATTGCGAGACCCAGTAATCCGGGAGGACCCACTGAAATCCCAAACGTGATTTTTTTTAATTTAACATATCCAATGTCATCCAATATTTCCAATAAATGAATGATTATCTAAATTATTAGCATATACCGTCTTATAGGGACATAGTTCAATGTTGCAAAATTCCTAAACGTAATATGAAATGCGTCGAATGTGGTAGTTACACATTTTTTTGGAATATGGAGATCTAGATAAATAATAAAGAATGGTAACTTACCTCCATAGAACCATGAGTTTTGAGGAACGCTGTCTGTTAAGAAAACCGCCAGGCTGCACACCAGTATTCTGAGCAAGTTACCAACGCTACTGAAAAAAAAACAAAAAAAAACATTGGTTTAAAAAAATTATTTAACAAAAATATAAATTGTTATAATATTTGTGATAATGGTTATAAAAATCCGAAATGTATGATGGTATGGATGTGTAAAGTCTTAACTTAGTTATTATGTTATATTCGTCTCTGCAATATGATTCGTCACGCTTCACCAGGCAGAGAAGCGATGGATAGAACAGGGTCGATCTAATGGCCAAGATCGATAAAATGTACCCAATCTTGGACACTAATAAAGAAATACATTAATAGACTCCCCCTCTCCAAGTCGATGGCGTATGTATAGCATCTCTCTCATTCCAAGACATTTTATTGCTCTCTTCTTCTTAAAAAAGTGCAAGAGATAGTAGAATTAGTCAATTCTTAGATCATATACTTGATGTGGATTTTTTCATGTTTTCCCTAGTTCCTGCGTTTGAAACTTTACTTTCCAAAAATTCAAAACCCCTTTGCTCCCCTCAAAGAAATTAAAATTCCGTCAAAATGTCTCCCCTCAATAATTTTGATGGCGCAAATTCCGCAATGAAACCCCCTTCTGAGCACCCCTGAAGAGACTTCAAGTTTCTCAGAGAAAAATGGAAAGACGTATACTCAATACAAAATTGAATGATACCATAAAAAACGAGAATATAAGTCACGGAACTAAAATCAAGGATATCAAAGAGGTGATTTTAAAATTAGATGGAATGTTTGGGCACGTGACATAGATAGATGATGAATGATGAACAAAGCAAGTAACGAAAAACTGGGGGTGGCCCTAAGCTCAATATTGGGCTTAATTCAGATATTTACAAAAAATTTTGTATCTCTGGTGATTTGAAATTCGGGTTTCATATGTAACATAAAATCCATGTTAATTATTACAATATTGTGTAAAGTATCATTCTATATTTTTATGAATAAACGCTTTATTTCTTTATTTTATTCGTCTCGATATTGATTTCTCAAATATCAGTTCTAATAGCCTCTAAATCTCTCCATATTCAATTATTTTTATAAAGCAATATCCTTTAATACCGAGAGTATTCACAACATTATTGTCAATATTACCAGACCGTATACCGAAATCACTGGCGTTTAATTCTATTGTGAAAATTCTTTTTTACTTAAAATTATAAAACAGCGCTCTCGCTCAATCTCCACTGGCTTTAGCACCAGTGACGCGGTTGGGAGAGTAGCACAGGGATCTCTTGGAGTCCTGCTTTTCTTTCTATAGTTCGAGGGACAATCCTGGCTTGGGGTTCCCTGACTGATTGGATATATTCTATATAGGTATGATTTAGTTTTTAATTTTCTTATCTCTAGGTTATTTTATATTGTACATAGTTATTGATTATTATTTTACTTTTGTTAATTTTATGTTTTCTGTATATATGGTGTGAAAGCGTTCATATATTACTATAATTATTGTCCACGTGACAGATTATTATATTTCTAAATAAATAAAAAAAATATAAATATAAAAATATTTCGTTATAACCAGCATTATCTGTTTACCGATACAAGTTAATGTGTCATCTCTTGATAACATCTAAAACCAGATATACACATTTTCGAAACACCAGAAACAAACAAAACACAAATAGAATCAGGTGTTTTACATGCTCCTGCATTTCGAGAGAAACAAACATGGCCGACGTTGACCTTTTGCCCTAACCTATTATAATTTCAAAGATAAACAAAATAAAATGAAAGAAGCCGAAGAAGATGGTTAATGAAGAAAATTCATTCAGGTCGTATCAGAAACCATTAAATTTAACATTTCTTAAGCTACACAAACAGTAAACAAATAAATAAAAGCCAGACTAACACTAAACAAAACTTTCTTTGATTTCACTTGAATAATCGATAGTCAGAAAAACCGGATCAGTTACAACACAAATACTAGCCTAGAGAAACATTCCAATGGCGTGTTTCCCATAGTTTGTAAAACGTGTAAACGCGGCTTTAAATGATGTACAATGGTCCCTAAATAATTAAATTTCCCATATCGTCCTAAACAATGGTTACGGAGTTTCATCTAACCTCTGATAATGTTGGCATTGCATACTCTAGATAGTTCTGTTGCTAACTTTACCTACAAAAGATTTAAACATTAAACTCCATAAATTACTAAGAAATTGGGTCATAGACCTACTCCACCATTCTCAGAGCAAGCTATGAAAGCGAGAGGTTATTCCATGAATACAAATGATTATATTTACATATTATGCCAGAGTTGATCAATGCTAATTGTTGTATTATCGATGGGATAGATAAGATGGCGTTAATGTTACGGAATATCGACAAACCACGAGGCTAAACGACTCGAGGGTGAATTACGAGATTATAAAGAGAATTTAAACATTCAATTCGCGTGATATTTACACAACTATTATAGCAGTGATTTAGGCCTAGTTTATACAGTGATAGTTACTGCCATGATTGAACGGTCACGACAGCTTTGATCGGTCCTTGTTTACATGCTGTCAGTTAACCAAGTGATAGTTGAACAACTTTTAGATATATATATATATATATATATATATATATATATATATATATTTTTATTTTATTTCTTAAAGACATTTACAACTGTATTAAATAAATACATCTAGTAAATTAGAACATAATGTATATAATGACATGAAAAACACTTGCTGAGTAACTACCCAATGGTAGTACTCTAATGATATGTTTACATTAGGAGATCACGGGGCCATCTTCTTTTCAGACGCCTCGGAGGGTTATCAGGAATTGAAGAGGAAGCAAGGTTAGAAACTAGAGGGTTGGGACGATTCTGAAGTTTATTATGGAAGGATAGGTATCTGGATTGGGCCAGTTTGAAACAAAAGAAACATTAAGGTCATTAAGGATGGTTTTATTTGTAACAAAGTAAGGAGCATTGAGGATTTTACGAAGGATTTTGGATTGTAAGGATTGGATACGAGAGGAATTCGATGGTTTAGTGGAGCCCCATAGCTCAACTCCGTAAGTCCAATTAGTCCTTATTATAGTCAAGTATATGAGTCTTTTGTAATTAATTGGAAGATTAGAGCGTTTGTCTAGTAAGTGCTGAAGTAATCGGAAACGTCGGGCGGTTTCTTGTCGTTTCAGTCTGGTATGGGGATTCCAAGTTAGTCGTTTGTCCAGGTGGAGTCCATTGGGGCGGGAATATCTTTTCGCACTCCCCCCCCCCCAATATTTCGAAGTACAAAAATAATATAAAAACTAATATAAATTAATTCACATGAATGAATAAAATATGTGACTATAATCAATCAAGACAATAGGAAAAGTCAATTAGATTGCTATGATAAGGCCTAGATAGTCCTTGAGTTCGTGGCAAAAAAGGTGTCATATTTCATACTTTTTAATACAGGTTTGTCCTTATATATTGACCATATCCACAGGCCTGATGAGAAAAATGCACGTCTGCCAGCATATAACCGCTAGAATACAAAATGGCAGCCATGTGAAGAAAGATAGAGACCCTACATAGTAGTGTTGCCCAAATGCGAGACAGAGACGAGTCTTGGTCTTGCAAACTCAGTCTTGGTCATGGTCTTGGTCTTGCGCAAGACTCTCGCAGCAGTCTTGCAGTTACTTATTAGCTTATTACTATAGAGTTTAATTTTATGAATTTTTCGCTTATATCAGTGAAACTATGCGTTCTATCTATAATAATGTAAGGAGTGAAATTAAAGCTGACAAAATTTTTAATAGAAATGGTTATTTTTTTTTCGCTATATTTTATAGTTTTCGTAATAATTCATTAAAATTCGTAATACACTAATTTTGAAAAAAAAGTTTTACATAGCATTTTATCATTATTTGATTCGCCAACTTTATATTTTACGAAAAACTCACGAGGATGAAAGTTGTTTTATAGTAAATTTTCTTTAAGAATATATAACACTTAAATATCTTATCTTCAACCATTCAAAGGCTAGAACAATTATAATTTAATGATTAAACTCCGAAACTATACAGAATAACTTACTTTACACAATTTTCGTTATTATACAGCTCTTAATCTGTATTTAAGACAGTAAACATATGTATATGATGTAAGCCAATGTATGCATATGTATGTTGTCTGATATATGCCGTCTGATGTATGTTGTCTGATATGATTAAGGTCTGTGTAATATCGAAAATTGCGAAAAGTACGTTTTTTGGAATAGTTCCGGAGTTTGATAATTAAGTTATAATTGATCTTAGCTTTAAATGGTTGAAGATAATATGCTCATAAAGATATTTAAAAAGTCTTCCGTATAGGGTCACTAAAGCTTCTACATAATTGCTATGGGGTGTATGATTACATTTATTTATTTTAAGAACAATGATTTGTTCTTTGTGAATAAAATATTTAAGGCGATCTGCTGTCAAGTAAAACGAGTTTCATGTGCCTACGCAAAAAATGTAGTTTGTTACTACACCATTTTAACACTGTTTTTCAAATTAACATTATATTAGTCTTAAGTAGGGCTTTAATTAAAATGATATGACTTCATCTTGGTATCGTAAAAATTTCATAACCGCGCAGTCGCCTTCATTGCAAAATATCCGAATGTCACCGAGCATTTTGTTTACAAATAAATACTTTCACTTTCCACCATTTAAGATCTTAACCTCTTTTTCTTTTTCATTTATGGTTTAATAAATTAAAATAATGCAGTAAAATGAAAATAATAGTCAATAATCAATAAAATAATGATGTATATAAATCTGAATTTTTTTAGGTTTGCGAATCATATTGAGAACACCAGTCTTGGTGACAGCTTGTAATGACAACAAATATCGACATAGCAAGTTAAACATCAATGTTACCGATACCTCAGTAGCATATTAGTATTATGATTATAATATATTATGATTTTTTTCGTGTTTTATTTTATATTAAAAAAAATGAAGCAATACATTGTTCTTTTCCTTACTCATTTATAGTTTAATAAATTAAGAATTATGCGTGTCCTATGGTTTTCAGGTATTTCTGCTTTTAGTATAACAGTCCCGGAATTAATATTAACTATACAGTCTAGCTTTTATATAAATAGAACGAGACATTTTTAGTATGTAAGCTTATCATAATACGTGTCGACATCGTTTATATATTATATATATTACAAGTTATCAAAGTTTTTTACATTTTTTATCGATCTGAATTAGAGTAGAGTATAGGAAGAAAGAGAGAAACTAACTACCCATATTAAATTGTGTTTAAGTGGTTCTTTAAGTTAAATGTAATTAGACGAACAATAATACTTTTAGACACCATTTTTTTCATAAAACATGGTTATGTTTTACCATTTTTGTGGAGGGGGGGAGGAAGGATGCCTCAGTCCGATTGCCAGGTTGCAACATACTTATAAGAATCGCCTTTAAAAAATAATTAAAAAATAATAAAACCTAAAATTTTATAATCCCATAAAAATATTGTCATAACCTAATTCCCACTGCCATATGATCAGTGCCTTTCACATTTCACTGGAATTATTTATTTTAATTATTAAATGGAATTCAATGAAATTTATATTAGAAAATGTCTGTAATATTTTCCAAATTTCATTGAACGCTCAGTTGTCAAACTATAGGTTTGCAAAATAATACGTTTGCTGATCCGAAAGCGAAATTATTTTTTCTAGGAGAAGTAGATAGAATTTCATAAAATTCATAAATAGTTGATTATCTGTTTACCAATCCCTATACCCTATATCAAGCGCAATAGAGCTTTCTTATCCCTTAATTTATTGGAATTCCGAAAAATCAGTCAGTTCTGATATACGGCTGTGAGACCTGTACACCAAACAGTGCACTAGGAAGAGTATTAAACGATTTGAGAGAAAAATCTTGAGCACGATAACCGGAGCGATCTGGGATCATAGAACAAAACCACGGAGGAGTAAAAACTGGGCAATCAATAAATCATGATAAGAAGGCAAGGAGATCAAGATGGGTGTGACATGTAGCTCGTAGTAATCCATTTGGAAGCCTATACACAATAATAAAACGATCACGTGAAAGATGAAATACCAGAGGGATAGATTGCACAACAAAGAAGCAATAGAGCTGCATTTAGATAAGTATTAAGAAATAGCCCAAGATAAACAGATATGGAGAAGGCTGGTTTAAGTATAATAAATATAAAAAATAGATAAATAAAATAAACAACATTAGTTGGCCTGTGCAAAAAATGCGCAGAAAATTTGATATTGTGAAGAAATAGCAACACAATACGGAAATAAGTAGTTCCTATGTATTATGTTAGGAAGGAATCGATATTTTTTCCTTGGTCGATTACAATATTCCATTTAACATAATATTCAAAAATATGTGTACGAATTGATTTGCTAAGACCTATTTTTAAACGCTCACTGGAAAGATAATAAAAGTAATACAGACAAAAGAATGCCACGATCATGGGATATTCTAAATTATTAAAAAAAATAAAAGGTAAGAACAACCAAATGTCTTTAAGAAATAATAAAGTTAATATATCAGCCAGGAAAAAAAGTGTAGCAGACTATTCTTTCCTTTGATGTAATATGTTTAAATCGGAAGACATTATTAAGTATACCCAAACTAATGGACTGTATCTTTGTTAATAATTGTCCGATTTTTGCGGATGTAAAAATGCATATTTTTTGAGTTATTCGCAAATAAAGTTTCTTTGCCTTCATAACTTTTCCGCCAGGAATTTCGGGGGAGATAGGACTATTCGCATGTGAAGGAAAAGAATATCTTCAAAACGAGTGGTCAATCATTGGATTTGATGAAGAATTGATGAAGTTAAGTCATACCGAAAAAAAAAAACACGTTTTATAAATAATATATAGGATTTTTTAACAATTAAAGTACACCGCATTGCACATGAGTTGAAACGCATTCACTAATCGATACCCAGCTGCTTTGATATATTTCCTGTCAAGTATCGAAAGTTATTCTCCGAATTGCTTTGACAAGAACAGTCTCACTATCGATTTATCTTACCATACACGCTATCGATTTCTAAGCATACCATTAGTACGATATATCGATTATGCCTAAGTGCATACCTGCTCGGGTGCAACGCCAGTCTTGGAGATCGCTCGGGACGGAGCCTTGACCGAGGGACTGTTTGTAAACAGAAGAAGGATAAGAAAGTGCCAACGGCCCCCCCACCTCGTCCACATTCCCGATTCCCGACAAACCTGTCTTCCAGACTGTGTCCCATTTAGTCTAAAATCTTCTTCGCCCATCAGGAACATCTGTTGATCAGCTGACATATCTCGGCTGCGCATTTGATCTCGGATTTTGTAATAGCCTGTTAAGGGACCGGCCATTGCCGAAGGCGACATAACTTTCACAAGTTCGCGTAAGAGTGCACTTGACTTAACTGCGCAGTAGAGCTTGTTTTCAATTCAGTGGTCTGACATCGATTTTTTTTGCTACCTATGTCGAAATCGATTTGGACCAATCTCTTCATAAGTAATCCAATTTTTACTAGGTATCGCAACTTTTTATTTTTTTTTTTTAAAGAATTTATGCATGCTATCATTCTAATCCGACTTACGTCGATGCTTTATGATTTCATATTGATTTATTATTTTCAATAATGAACCATTGTGATCGACCAAAAAATTCAAAAACTTAATCCCCTCTCTAAATTTGAGGTTTCACGTTTCAGGATGCGTAGAATTCGAAAAACGAATAAAAACTTTTTTGTCCGTCCGCCGTCCGCACATTTTCTCCGAAACTACTGGACGATTTTTTTTTCAAATTTTGATACAAAATCAGAGGTCACCCGAGGATGATCCTCCTTCATCGACATTATTATCCGCCTTTTCATTTTCAAAATGGCGGCCGAAAAACCTGCGTTGCTATGGACTGTAGCTCCAAAACGGATGTACAGATTTCAATGAAACTCCGCTAAAGTTATTTTCTCGACGCCATTTAAATTTATCTATATAATATGCTTCAACGAAAAGAAGCTGGAAAAAAAGTTAAGAGGGATGGTAAAATTAAATTCCGAATAACTCAAAAATTTCATACTTTTTTGCTGATATTGTATATGGTTCTTTAAAAGTTTATGAAATTTCTTTAAAAACAAAAAAAAACCGTTAAAATCGGACAATTAGGAGCAAAGATATGGTCTACGGTCTTTTAATATGTTCTACTCCAAATGTTATATCCTTGGTTTGGTTTTTAAATTTTGAATGTGTTTCTGAAGTAATACTATTTTTTTTTAGCATATTCCTAATGATTAAAAAAAAAATTTTGTTCAATAATTGGAATCACCTTTTGTTTATTTTTCTTTGTAACTCGGAATGTAATGTTACTTTAGATGTATAATTGTTTGGAAATAATAAACCTTTGTGAAATAATTTGCAGCGTTTTTTTTTTATTTAATCCATATATAAACGTTTTTATTATGTTTTTTTTTTGTTATGTGAGTAATTGATTAACGTTTTTAAAAAACACCGCAATAAGTTTTAATGAAACCTAAAAAGTTTCGATACTTACAATCGTTTTTTACATCTCTCAAGGCGGAATTCCACTGAGGCAACACTGAGCGATATGTTGCTTGATACTTGTTTCCTAGTGTTGCCTGTTGGAGGCGTACGACTATCTAGCACAAAATTCAATTAATGTCGCATGCGGAATTTGTTACAAACAATTACCTCTTAAAGTATTATTGTTCGTCTAATTACATTTAAAAGGACTTAAGGAATCACTTAAACACCATTTCATATAGATAGTTAGTTCCTTTCTTTTTTTCCAAAGTAATTATCGTCATTTTTATGAAATAAAAAGCTTTCGGGCCGAAGCCCTCCCCCCCTTCCAAAATTAAATCCTGGATTAGCTAGTGATATATATATATATATATATATATATATATATATATATATATATATATATATTTATATTTATATTTATATTTATATATATATGCATCCATTTCTGCAAGCCACTGCACGAAAAAAGCCGAACGTTATGTGATTGTTTGGAATTAATTTCTAATACTGAATACGAATATGTTTATTTAATAAGAGACAAAAAGGGATGATCTCGTTCTAAGTTATAATGTATTACAGAAATGTTATATTTGGATTGTAAAAATTTTATGACTGGTGTAAACTCTGGAAAATTCGACTCATTAAAGACAAATCGGAATATATTACATTTACTCTTCGACATAAAGCTTTTCATCTATTTATCTCGACAATGTCCATAATCCTCAGACAGATAAAGTTCATTCAACATCTTGGACTGACATTTGACAGACCATACAAAAACACTAAACCTAAGATTACTAACTTCTTCCTCTAAAAACCTAAACTTTACTCTCTCCTTTCAAGACTTTCGAAATTAAAACTTATACAGAAACTGATTATATACACTTATTTACTTAAGCCCATTTGGACCTATGCTTCACAGATTTACAGGGCAGCCAAAAAGACTCACATACGTGAACCACAGGCGGATTTACGGAGAGGGGGGCTTTCGGGCTGAAACCCTCCCCAAAATGGTAAAATGTAATAATGTTTTATGGTAAAAAATGTTAAAAAATTATGTCTTAAAGTATTATTGCTCATTTAATTACATTTAATAGGACTTAAAGAATCACTTAATCACCATTTCATATAGGTAGTTAGTATCTTTCTGTTTTTATAAAGTAATTATCGTTTTATATATGAAAAAAAAGCTTCGGGGCTGAAGTCCTCCCCCAAAATTAAATCCTGGATCCGCTAGTGACGTGAACTACAAACTCTTCATTCCAAAACTTTCAGAACTATCACCAATGCTCTCTGGTACGCCAGTAACACCACTTTACATAAAGAACTACATATGCCAAGAGCCATATACGAAGGCACATAGGCATGGCTACAACCAATATGCCCGGTAACAAACACACATAGGAGGCTCAAAAGAAGCTGGACGATGGATCTCCTCCACTAACTAAAAAATAAATAAAAAATCATAAAATTGAATACTTTAATAGTTGGCCGTTTTAGAGGAAGAAGGTGGTACGGAGTGGCGGTCATAAATAGAATAATATAATGGCAAAACTCTTTTACTTTAAGCATTTTTTATTTTCTTTCTTCGCATCCCTTTATGTCCATTATTTCATATTATTTATCCTTTTCTTCCAATATCTTCTTGAGATCTGTTGGAGTATATTCATAATTGCATATAATATAGTATATATTGTACTACAACAATTGTTACCATTTATTTACTTCAGTTTAGATAGAATCTTGTTATTTATTTTACTCTGTTTATGTTGTTTATTGTTCTTAATATTTCAAGGCAAAATAAGAATTGCTTTTCAAGTCTTAAAGCCAAAAAAGAACAACAAACAAACAATATTTCAATGTACCTACTGTTTATAATTTCAATACGTTTATTCACCTTGTTTATAATTTTTATCTAAATATGTATTATATAAAATTACACTATAAATGTATAGTGTCCGTTCTAGCCCTGAAGAAGACCTGCAAAGTCGGGTCGAAACGTTGGCTTGAAATAAAATAGTTTTGTTACTATTTAGCCTATTTATGACCGCCACCCCGTACCATCTCCTTCCTCCAGTGATTTTGTTTGGATCTTGATATGTGAGACCCATGTCATTCTTCTGTCAAATGTCAGTCCAAGATGTTGAATGAACTTTACCTGTCTGAGGATTCTGGGCATTGTCGAGATAAATAGAAGAAAAAGTTTTACGTCGAAGAGTAAATGAAATATTCCGATTTGTCTTTATTGAGTCCAGATTTTCCAGAGTTTACACCAGTCATATAAATTTTAAAATACAAATATAACATTTCTGTAATACATTATAACTTAGGACGAGATCATCCCTTTTTGTCTCTTATTAAATAAACATATTCTTATTCGGCATTAGAAATTAATTCCAAACAATCACATAACGCTATTCTTCTTTCGTGCAGTGGCTTGCAGAAATGGATGCATATTTTTTTTTATTGAACATAATACAATTTTTCTTTGTTTCAAATAAATATTAAGACGAAATTACGAACTTTCTGTCCAACAATATGAAAGATTTGAGAACATATTATTTAGCTATTGAAGAGATTAATTGGCATTTCCCTCGGACTATTTATTTATTTTTTCAAAGGAAGGAGATGCACCAGGGGTGGCGGTCATAAATATGCTAAATAGTGTCAAAACTATTTTATTAAAAGCCAACGTTTCGACCCAACTTTGCAGGTCTTCTTCAGGGCTAGAACGGACAAGATACAAAAAGATATAGAGTCGAATTCTCCAGAGTTTGCCCTAGTCATAAAAAAATTTAAAATCCAAATATAACATTCCTGTAATACATAATAACATAGAACGATATCGTCGCTTTTTGTCTCTTATTAAATAAGTTTCAGACCAAGATATTTCATGAAATGGTTTACAAATGAGTTTTTTTTTTTTTTTTTTTTTAACAAAAACTGATTAGTCTAGATGAAAAAGAAAATATTCTATAGACAATAATATGAATTCTTGGCATTTGGTCCGATAAATTTGCAATCGGCCATACTGTGCAGAGGTTCAAAACTATTTAACTCAAAACTATTTTTTTGTGATTTTTAATTCTTTTTGTCACTAATTGAAAATGATCTTTAAGGATAAGATAGTAAATGATCTGTATTGAATCTAGATGGCGCTGAAAAGAGCAGTTTCACTCTCGCGGAACGCTATGGCTAAAAACATCTGTTAATTGAAAGTAACATTTTGGCGAAATGAGCTGCACTCGGACCACTTCCTGTACTAAGGTACAGTCATCCGCTTTCCAAAAGACCTTTCACCGAACAGAGTGCACGACTCGGCATCAATGGAGATCGTGCACTATCGAGTCACTTCAACTCCAAGCTGTCTACTTGTACCTTTGATGTCTGTATTGGAGTACGCTGGAGTACAATCTAGGTACATTACACAGCTCTGGCGATAGGCATGCGCTATAAGTACTGTACCTGCATCTCATAACTCGAATGGATTAAATATAATATGGATATATATATGGATTAAAACTCCAGTATATAAGATTGCTTACTCCAACATATTACTTTCACTTACCTATATATGAAATATATAGTAAAGAAAAGTATTGCGATCGTGAAAATTTTCGAATCACAGTTTTCATCAGTTAACGAATCGGAGGCAGTGAAGACTTTATAAGTAATTCTTTTATTAATAATTTCTGTTACAAATGACATCTAACATACAGAGTAATATACTATGGATAGGTTGACTACACGAGTTCACTCCAGGTCTCCTACAGTGAAGAGTGTGACTTCAAGAATGTAACTGCATGAGTGATTAGTCCAGAGGATCATGGGGTTTATGTACCCAAGAATGGCAAGGGGGTGAAGGGAAGTCGGAAGAGGACAGCAAAGGAAGTTATCGATAGTTAATATTCTTAAGATGAGGTCTGTGAGAAAGAGACCTTTCGCTGAAATCGGTTATTGTTCCCTAAGCCTTGATAATGGCTCTTCTGTCCTGTCAGTACATTCTAGATAACTACTTCTAAGCTATCAGAGATAGCTTGACCTGCCATACATGATTCACCAATTGGCATGTTTAACAAACTCAACCATTAAAATAAAAGTTAATATTATTATTATTATTATTATTTGTTACGGATTAAGTCCATGCCGTAACTAACGGAAATACACGTTTTGAGGTCCCGTGAGTCCCGCAAAATGGTCTATGTGTTTGTGTTAACAGTCTTGTTCAAATACGAAAAGTCGTATGAATGTGAAATTGTATATTTAAGGTTTTTATATGCTTGGAATGTTGCAGCAAGTTTTTCTTCAAAATCAACTATTCGGAAGTGGCACTTTATATCATGGACTAAACACAATTTTACGATTTTCTCGAAAACTGCTCTAACGATTTTGATTAAATTCATTATAGCAGTGTAAAATCAAGCAGTTTTAAATAAAATGTAATTTTTATTCTGATTGATATATTGATCTAACAGAGCTTTAATGCCTAATTTTCAATATTAGCTTGCTCTAAAGTACCTTTAATTTTTTTATTTGAAACAATTGACCATTTCATATTAATCTCTAATATAAAAGATAGTTAAATATGAAATATGAAAGAATTTGATAATTAACTAAAGGAGATATAAGAGTTCGTAACGGAGAATAGTTGTAATTGGGTAATTAAAGGAATACAGCGCACCCGAGCTCGCTCGAAAGATTAGTACACGCTTCCATACGTAATATGAGCTTATTATAATACAAACTCCAAAAATATTATGTAAATATACATATACGGTTTTCATAAATGCTATTGTTGGAATTATTTAATATTTAATTGTATAGATTACACCGATATAAATATTAAAATTTGTATATATGAGTACTTGTACAAATAAAAATATCCACAATGAAATATAAATAAATACAGCGTTTATAATTTTTACTCTCACTTCCCCTTTGTCTCAAAATACTTATTTCTGCTATGAAGAGGATGATAAGTAAAAACTGTGTGATGTGCCCCCCGCACCAGTTTTTTTAATAATGGAAACATCTTATAAATTGTAGGGTCTAAAATATTATTTTAGCTAATTATAAATAAATGTACACCATCATACTACGACCTATCTGGACGTACGAAGCTGAATTTAAGGGTTTCGTCAAACACGTCCATATTTGATTACAAATTATCTTACGATCTAAGTAGAAAGCAATTGGATATTTACGAGTTTTTAGTACCTAATTAAACAGACAAAGTTTGTTCCCCTTCGGATTGAAAACTCCCCAATTCCAAGAATTTTCGTAAATAAAATAGTTATAGGTTACGATGAGATGAAGTTTCCGGCGGATGTTAATAATCTGATAAAAAGGAGTCTGTACCACGGACTATAAAACAAATAAATAAAATTATAAACTTGAAAAAATATGTATACTGTATAAAAATGTGAAAATCTTGGATTAAGCAGTTTTCTTCTCGCCAAGGATATATTTTTTAATATATCGAAACAATAATAAGATATCCCGATATTTCGAAGAATATTGTAGTAATTAGATTCAGAATAAATAATTTCCTAATTTTAAATTTCAATTTTAGTTATATATTTTTAAAATAATATTGTCTAAATAAGATTTGGAGACATATCTTAAGACTTCTCCTATATATTATTTCTAAAAGGTGTTTTTTTTATCGGTATGCCATAACTTCGTCAATTCTTCATCAAATCCAATGATTGACCACTCATTTTGCAGATATTCTTCTCCTTCACATACAAATAATAGTAATATCTTCTCGAAATTTCTGGAAACAAAGTTATGAAGGAAAAGAAACTTTATTTGCGGGTAACTCAAAAAGTATGAATTTTTCTCGATTTTACCCATGATAATTAGAAAAATACTAAATTACCTAAAAAAAAAAAAAATTATAATTGGACAATTATTAACAAAGATACAGTCCGTTAGTTTTGGTATACTTAATAATTTCTTCCTCTTTAAAGATTATTTTTTAAAGGCATCTGTTTGTTCTTAATTTTATTTCTTTAATAATTACTTATATATTTAATAATAATTACTTTTATCACAATCAATGATTGACCACTCATTTTTGAGATATTCTTTTCCTTCACATACGACAAATAATCCTATCTTCCCGAAATTTCTGGAAAAAAAACAAACTTTATTTGCGGGTAACTCAAAAAGTATGAATTTTTCTCGATTTTATCCATGATAATTAGAAAAATACTAAATTACCTAAAAAAAAAAAATTATAATTGGACAATTACTAACAAAGATACAGTCCATTAGTTTTGGTATACTTAATAATTTCTTCCTCCTTAAAGATTATTTCTTAAAGGCATGTTTGTTTGTTTGTTTGTTCTAACATTTTATTTTTTTTCTAACAATTTAGAATATCCCATGATCGGGGCATTTTTTTGTCTACATTACTTTATTATCTTAGCAGTCAGCGTTTAAAAATAGGTCCTAGCAAAGGAATTTGTACAAATATTTTGGTCTGTTATGTTAAATGGAATATTGTAATCGACCAAGGAAAAATTTTTAATTCCTTAGACTCAAAAGACAAGAACTCAACCGACGATACGGCCAACTATACCGACTACTAAGCCGAAAATCTAAACTTTCTATTGAAAACAAGCTACTGATCTACAAGACAATACTGAAACCTATTTGTACTTACGGACTAGAACTGTGGGGATCAGCAAAATTTTCTAACATCAAGCGCATCCAATCCTTCCAGTCTAAAGTCCTTCGAACAATAGTCGATGCTCCTTTGTATGTAACCAACAAAACCCTACATCATGACCTCAACATCCCATTTGTCATAGACCTTATCCCAGAAAAATTCTCCAAATTTCACCAGAACCTTACTTACCACCCAAATCCTCTTGCACAATCCCTATCAAGCACCTCCCATCCCTATAATCCTCCAAGAAGGTTGAAACGGCAGTGGCCTCGCGACCTTTTGTAGATTGTATAAATTGGAGTTCTGGCAATGGCCAGATTCTTCACTCAAGACATGAGTGTATGTGGCTAAAGTGCTCTCGATAAATCTCCGCTGGCTTTAGTACCAGTGACGCGGTTGGGAGAGTAGCGCAGGGTTCTCTTGGAGTTCCCTCGCCTGATTGTATATATTTATGCATGTTTTTTTTTTTTTTTCTTAGTTTTAATTTTCTTATTTTTTAGGTTACTTTATTTTATTGTCTATTGTATATACTTTTGATTATTATTTTGTTCTATTTGTTTTATTTTTTTGTACATATAGTGTGAATGTCATCCTACCTCACTATAACCAATGTCCAACAGACAGATTGTTATAATACTCAATAAAGAAAAAGAAAAAAAAAAAAAAAAGGAATTCCATCCTTACATGACACATGGGATCTACTTACTTCCATATTATTTCCACTAAAGAAAATTGTCTGCGAATTATTCGCAAGGGCCAACTAGTAAATATATATTATGAAACATAATATTTTATAATATTATCTAATTCTTTGGAAGTACTGAACTGATTTCTGTTGGAGTGATGTTATAATACTGAGTAGTGTATTGACCTTAAGCAACAAGTGGTACGATGCAGATAATAACACCGTGGGCGGGACTCGAAGGCAGAAAAGAATCTGGTAGCGTGACCGGGTCAAGGCTGGTGGGTCCAAGAACAGGGCGTAACTTTCACAGCCGACGCTGGCCATATTGTAATACTGTATATCTTTAATCCAGTATATCGCATTTATTATTATTTTATTTTATGTACTTCATATAATGAAAATATAGTTTTATTTACTTTGTAAAGTATTTTTTATTTTTATTTTTTTTTTATTATATACATTACAACATGTCATACTGATAAGCTACATGTTTATGGTTGCATTAACCTTACACATGACATAATGGTGGTTTGAATACTACTTAGAAAATTGAAATTAATTTTTTACAGTAGGAAAAATCACATAAAAACCTACATAAGATGTAAATGAAAAAACTAGGTTACACTCATTAAAAGTACAAGAAAAACTAAATATAATTTATGTGCAAGAGGAAACTATATATATATATATATATATATATATATATATATATATAAAGTAGTTCGTATTAAGCAGATAAAGTGCAGAAACCTTCAAATTAAGGTTTTTCGTGACGATATATCGATGGGAAGACCGGTGCTGGTCAACTCTACAAAAGTAAGAGTTCGCGTCCAGGTGCCAAAGGGGATTTTAAATTCTTTATATTAATTTTAATTATTAAATGTAATTCAATGAAATTGTTACCAGGTAATTTCTATCAATACTATTCTCCAAATTTCCTCCAAGTTTGGGTCTAATCGAATGCACAGTTTTCAAACTATATGCGTGTCAAATAATAAATTTCCTGATCTGAAAGCAAAAGTAATTTTTTTTTTTTTTTTTTTTTTTTAGTGGACGGAATTCGATAAAATTCACAAATACTTGATCATATCTTTACATTGGTAATTTTATTATCTATGGGGATTGGCCAAACTTCACTCCAAATTTGAGCCAAATCGAACGGGCGATATAGACGTATCAAGGAAAACATTTTTGCGCATATATAAAAGAAAGCAGTGGTCAGAATTCAATAAAATTATAACTACATTATTTTTTCACTAATACTTACCTTTTAGCCAACTTTGAGCCAAATCGAACGAGCTGTTTCTGAAATATTGGTATATCTAAAAAAATACGTTTGCGCGAGCGTAAGCGGAAGTGCTGGATGAAATTTTATAAAATTGGTATGAAATTATCTAGGCACCAACCCGCACAATTACTCAAAATTTAAATGAAAATCGGATGAACGGTTCTAAGTATGCTACGTATGACCGTCAAATCGATTTGACTACAGACAGACACCGAACCAAATTTGATCCTTGATGTCTGAAACTTAAAACCGCGAGATTAAATGACATTTTCTTACTAAATGTAAACTTAGTAAGAACTATGTTTGAGAAAAAAGTATTTAAAATCCACCGAATCAAGCCAATGCCATTGTTTCAAATACTATTTCATTGCGAAGTAGTGGAATAAAAAAATATTTCGTGGATATGTTTATAACCTTGAATACATTTACTGCTGTTTAATAACTCTTAATATGATATTATATTTAAATAATTAGGTATCCATCGGCCGTTTATTCCAAAAAATCATCAAGTAACCTTATAGAAAATTAAATTAGTGGTTAATTTGATGAATTTTTCCTTTGTGAAATCCCAACATTATCCACTTAGAATTAGTGTGAAACCTTTTGACCTATCCACAGCAGGCATTGAAAATCTGAATTGAAAGTTCATTTTAGTAAAATTTAAAATGGAAAATAATAGTTTAATTACTAACACTCCTAGAAGAAACCATAGTCATTTATAGGTTAAATATTTAGATATACAATAATATATGAGCCTTTAGGTTGACAGAATGACTAACTCCGATTTCAACATTCTTTATTATTAATTTTAGTGATGCTTCTTGTGTCAAAATTAATACCTTTATTCACACTTCTATATTTCAACACTGTAATCACCTACTCTGGAATCAATTCATTCACTGTCTGTATAGATACAACCTTTCCAATAAGAAATATCACTAGAATGACATTACTCAAAAATATTGAAATTGTAGTTAGTCATTCTGTCAACTGAAAGGCTCAGAGACTGAAGTTGTGTGGTTTATAAAATCAGATGGAGTAACTAGATTTTTAATGCCTACCATCGATATAATAAATAAACTTTTTGTAATTTCCATGGTCTTAATGATTTGTTACCTGTAAGCTTTAAGCTTTAGCTCCGTTTAAAAGTGCACTTCAAAAATTTTATAATAGCCCAACAATGACAGAAAATAATTTGTATTCAAAGTAGAGCGGTAAGTGAAAGTTGTGTGTTGCGCGCACCATATGTTTTCGTTTTGCAGATGTCTCACTCGTACAGACTTATCTCGGTCAATCATAGCCTTGCTCTAGCTAACTACATCGATAAGGTTATATTGTCATATTTTCTCTCTACTATAAAATTCGGTTTATTAGAATCAGTGTATTATTGTTTTCGTCGGTCAAATTAACGAATTAATGTATTTCTGCAGTTAATGAATAAATCGGTAACGATATTTTTTGGAACAAGTTAATTTTCAGCATGATTTGTCGTAACCTTGCCCGTCAATATATGTAGATCGAATTCGCCGAAAGCAGTTACGTGGTGAGTGGCGGATCTACTTTTTCGAAGAATTAATCGTTTGGAAAGCAGACACATTAATAATCTTTTGATAGTTTATCAGCATTATCGACCTTTTAGTCGAACTATGGCAAATTGAATTCAGAATATATTCAACATCAGGGGTGTCCATCCCCCTCAAGATCGTTGGTGCATCAATATTCTGTGGTACAGACCCCTTTTTAGCAAATTATTAACATCCGGCTGCAACTTCGTATACAGTTTCTTCTCATCGTAACCTACAAATATTTTATTTACGAAAATTCTCGAAATTGGGGCGTTTTCAAGCTGGAGGTCGGCAAACTTCGTTTATTTAATTAGGGAATAAAAACTCGTAAATACCTGTTTGCTTTCTTCTTGAATCGTAAGATAACTTCCACACAAAGTTGGGGGAAAAAGTAGCATTCAAAAATATTGAGTCGTTAACCTAGGCCAAACGGTCCAATTTTTTTGTAGTCCAGCTTTTTTTATCGATTTTGCAATAAAATTATCTTGCGAACCAAGTGGAAAGCAAATGGGTACTTATGAGTTTTTATTACCTAATTAAATAGACAAAGTTTACCCCCATCCAGATTGAAAACGCCCCAATTTCAAATAAAATAGTTGTAGATTACTATGAGATGAAACTATTCACGAAGTTTCAGGCGGATGTTAATAATTTGATAAAAAGAGGCTCGTACCACGGACTATTATAACAAGGTGAAGCCATTCACGAGGACGGGAATATTAATAATTTGGTTGGATTATTTTTGTTTTTGGTCTGCATCTCGGACTACTTCGTATCTGTGAGTCTGTATTAAATGTTGTAATTATTATATTAAATGTTGTAATTATTATATTAAATGTTTATGCGACCAGCTGACGGTGCGAATTCGCCTAGTGAACTTAACCTTATACAGAGGAGATTCGAGATAACCTCTTTACTTTCTAACAAGATGGAATAAACTAGATAATTGTTGAGACAAAGGCTGAAGTATAAGCTGCAAGCTGTTGTGATAATATTAAGATGGCCTATGATAACTTTCCATTCTGCCATCTTGAAAACAATACTCGGCTCTGGCGTACATTTCGATCTCTTGTTTAATTGAAGTGGGTAGACTTTTACTTTATAAAAAAAAATGTGGTATTTAGTGTATAGAGCACAGTCGTAGGTTTTGAGTCTTTCTACAATAATCGGTTCACGTCATCGGGTTTAGACATTTCAAAAGCACCAGTAACACAAACAAGCAAACCCAAGAAACATAAAAAACAGGACGTTCAAACTTTCCAGGAAGACAAACATGGCGGATGTTGTTAATCTCATTCGCACTAATTTATTTATAATTTTAAAATAAATTCAAATGAAACAAAAGGAGATGGTGTGAATTTCGATAAAGGAGAAGGTGGCTAATGAAAATTCATTTAAAGCAAACTACGAACTATTAAACAAAAACAGTAAACAAATGTCTAAAAGCGACACTAGCGTTAACCCAAACGCCCATTGGTTTAAACTAGAGGTCTCCAAACTATGGCCCGCGAAAGTTTTTTTTATTACATGCTAAAATTTTAAAACTATTTAACAAATACGAAATTAAGTGAATCACTTAAACAGGAGGCTTCTACGCCATTTATTGAATGAATTATTTCTCTTAGAAAGCTCATTTCACAGGTGAGAGGTCATTTATAGAACATGCGGCCCGCAGGGCTTAGTGATGATCTCAATATGACCTGCGAGCCAAAAAGTTAGGAGAACCCTGGTTTAAACCGACAGATGGAACTGGCACACACAAGAAACAAAAACATTAGCCTAGAGAAATAACTGATTTAGACGTTCACGTTTTCCATAGTTTGTGAAAAATCTAAACGAACTTTTATTTTATTTAAAGTAACAGTTATTTCATATCAATAAAACATACATAAGCACATAAAAAAATACATAAACAAACATAAATGTTTGTTTTTATTATCACAAATAAAGTGAACTCCTAACCAAAATATTGAAATATATATATTAATTTTATTATAATTGTTTTAATTATCATTAAATAAATATAATATTATATATTATTTCGTTATGTATTATTGTTTAATCATTATTTAGAGCAATACACAAATCCACTAGATTCATTATCAAAAGATCGAACACATATAGCTAACATATTATGACAACAAATGGTTCGTTAGCCTCAATAATTATTATTAATAGTTATCACGTGTTAGTAACTTATCAAAAACATACATTTCCTACCAATATAATAAAATGTTTTGACAACGTGCGTATGTAGGTAGGTGTTTGTAGTAGTCTCTAAATCTTCATTACTGTTCAGTATTGCGGGTACTGTATAGCCTGCCCCTGCACATTTTCAGGACTCATTATTGCCATCATCATTAGGACCGAAACACCAAAAACAGCATAATCGTGTTCTAGACGTTCGAAAATGCTTTCGCGCTTCCATTGACGACATTCGAAACTAAATTTCGACATTATTTATCGATGCAAAATTAACTTTTTCATATCAAAGTACCTAATTAAACTAACTAACAATTTTCTGATTTCACATTAATTATTCAAAGTACTTGGTGATTTAATTTTATGAAATGTTACTTATGATTTTATGTAATCCACGAAATGCCTAATATTTTAAAGGAAAATGTCATAATAAATAACCTCACCCAGTATAAATTTTATTTTAGTTACCAGATTTCTATCTGCAAGAACTCTGAATATTTCTTTGGCAGATTTGTAACGATATTCTAAAAACAATCTCACTATTATTAAGCGATCAAATGGTTCGTTTGTTTTTTCTCCTCCCAGTTTTTTCTTTCGCTCAATGAGGCGTTCTTTTTTCTTCTAATATTTTTTTTCAGAATTATGACTACCGTTGATTGGTGGTACTTTATTCTTGTAGCTATTTCCCGTAAACATTCCTTTACTTCATATAACGTCATAATTTTAATATTTTCTGATAAGGACAGTTTTTTGAAACTGGTCATAATTACAGATTTTATCCTGGCATAAGTTAAAATTGAACTGAGAAACATTGTCAAAGATTTCTTGTAACCTAATTAAATAAATAGGTATACCTGCATCTAAGATGTTTATTTTCATTACTTTTTTTTTTTAAGATAATTTTATTTCTATTTTATTCATTTATTTTCATTCTATTATTACTATATCATGGGTGATAAATATTCAGGACGCAGTCTTTTTTAAATTTTTTTTATTTTAGGCCAACGTTTCAACCCAAACATGTGGGTCATCTTCAGTGCTCAAACCACGCCCTGAAGATGACCGACATGTTTGGGTTGAAACGTTGGCAAAAATAAATTTTTTTTTAAAAAAAGACTGCCTCCTGAATATTTATCACCCATGATATGTAGAACAGTCGACTAACTTCCTTCAAGTATTATAACTATAATTTATATTTTCTTTCTTCACTATGATATTTTATTTTGTTCTTTTATAGCTTTATATTAATTGAAATTTTTTTATTTATTTAGACATATAATATTCTGTCACGGGAACAATAATTATATTGTAATTATTTGAAATTAGCTTATTTTTTTTTTTAATTTGTAAATATGGTGTGAATGTGCTCTCAGAACTCTATTATAAATGTCCTTTATTGAGACAGATTGTAATATTTATCAATAAACAAATAATCAATATAAATTAAATAAATAAAAACAAAAAATTCAATGGGATCAACGTTATCAACAAAAAAAAAAAAAAAAAAAAAAATAGGTGATGCGATTTCTAGGACCTCGACTGAATTTACATTATATATACTACATTTAAGTACCACCACCAAGAAGATATAGACAGAATCTGTGCTTCGGCGAACCGGAATAGGCTCATCCTAAACGCCGAGAAGACAAAAGCTCTCCTTATCGGATCCCCGCACTCATTAAATCCAATCCTGTACCTCCCAATATTATTCTAAACAACTCACCTATCTCGTTAAAAACCTTGGTGTTAGTTTTGATCAAACCCTCTCCTGGAAACCACACATCTAACACATGTTTTTGTTTTGTTCTTTTTTCTTCCTATATTTTTATTTTTAATAAAATATTATTTTATAAATTTTTAATTTGATGTATGGCAACACAGGCATTTTCTCAGTATTTATACTTTCTTCCAAAGTGGCAACAGTCCCAGAATAATAAAAATATTTTCATTTTACCAGCGGCCTTGGCTTTGGCTGTTTTGTAGACAGAATAATAACATTTAAGTAAATTTTTCCAAAATTGGGCATTTTCTAGAGCTTTTTCGTAGTTTTACTCTTATTTATAAATTTTTCATATCCCTCTAATTAAAGTTAGAGTTGAAATTTAGTATATGAATTGAATTGGTCATAGAGAAAGGTGTGTTAGGGTTTTTTTTTTTTATCTTTTTGCCCACGCTTCGTCATTTTTTGCGTTTTTTTAAGTTTTACGCTCCTCTACGACCCTTCTATTAGAGTTAAATGATATGACTGAAATTTTTCATGCAAATCTAGTCGATATTTTTCGCCGTCTTTAAATTTATTTTCTATCCACGTTACTATGATTAATGTAATTCGGAAAAAAACAAAAACAATATACGAGTATGAGGCAGGTAGGGGTCTTGTTTAGATTAGTCTCGCCAGTTATTTTATCTAGTTAGTTTTATCAACAGTTACTTATTGATAAATTAAAAAATATGGGTTAAAGGAACATATGATTTATTTAATAGAAACTTTTTATACATAACCAAAAACATTAACATACTTTTGATGAGTTATTCCAGGTACCTCTGGAGGCCAAAATTCTACTGTGCCCTTAAGGATTTTATCGAAAACGCCTTCATTTGAGTTTCTCTGCCTCCACATGAACTCACATAAATACGAGTCTTAACATAAATAATAGCTTTCTTTACGTAGAATTCCTTTTTCTTCAAAGAAAATCCTGGCTCGTTCCTCTTCTTTGCATAAATAGTAAACTTCAAAAATATTCATCGTGTTATCAGTTTAAAACCGCAATTACATAAACAATACTGAATTAAATAATATTTAAACATATTATTTTATTTCTATATCAATGGTATGTTATATCAATGGTATATGGTATATCAGTGGTTGTTATTTCATAACAACTGTTACTAAATATCATTAAAAAATCACTGGCGGGCCTAATCTAAACAAGACCCGGCAGATATTTCACAATTAATTATTTTCATGTAAGTATTAATGGAACCATCAAATTAATAGTTTTCATTTCTTAATTATTTCTTATCTAAACCGACATTTCAGTTTCTGACACACTTAGCCATTCCTCCAGGAGATCCAGAACCTGGCGTGCCCTCGAAAACCTACAAGAAGAGGATGACTCTGCGGCAGCCGCCATTGTCTGCTAAAGAGGACAAGATGTGGAGCGGACAGGCCCGATGATGGATGATGGCTGGAAATGAAAGTGAGCCACTGTTGCATAAATAGTGCAACTATTGTCGATCACAAAGGCTCTCACTTTCCTACCAAAGTACTGCTATCTATATCTGGATCAATGTATCTCAGGATCGACTCTTCCCCGTGGTATCGTGATTCGATACTTATTTTAAAGTATATATTGTGTTCGGTGGGTCAACCTTATTAAATTTAGGAAAAGTTTCTAAGCACAACACTCATTCGATTGAATTGAATCAGCGATGGACAGCGATTTACGTTGAGATTAGAGACGACCTGTTTGATTTAAGCGAAACGTTGATACTCCTCGAAGGTAACAAAACCACAACAAATTAGTTTTGTTTTTTAAATCAATACATGAATTTTTTCCACAATGAATTTTTGTCTATTCATCGAGCTGTTCGTGTAATTTTACATCTACGGTCTGATTATTTTAAAATTAACGATTTTGGTATAAAGTCAGTTTTATGTGTTATGTCTCAAAGATGTTTTTTTGTCGCAACAAGATAACTTCGTCAATTCTTCATCACATCTAACGATTGAGCCCTCATTTTAAAAATCTTTTTCTCCTTTATGTAGAAAAATATGAAGGAAAAGAAACTTTATTTGCGATAACTTAAAAAAATTTGCATTTTTTCTCGATTGTACCCATGATTATTAGAAAGATCACTAAATTACATACAAATAAAGCAATAATGGAACTCAATTAGAAATTAGTAAATTTGTACTAACCGAAGGAGCACAGTGTGTTCAAATATTTTTTTAAGGAGAAACATAGTTAAGATTTGTTGCTGCTCTAAAAACCCTTAAATACGAATTGTTGTTGTAATCGAAAAATAATATTTTTTTTCTACGAATTGGAACCAAGGCTCACCTTTAGATTTTTTTACGAAAATCACAAAAAGTGTGATAAATTCAATGTGCTTTCACCTATCCACACGAAATTTATCAGGGAATTGGGGCATTATAAACTACACGAAATGACAAACTCCCTAGATTTTACACCTGAATTTATTTAATGAAAGAACTGAATTTATAAAATGAAAACTTGTAAGTAATATTAATGATACAATAATATGTACATAATTAATTAATGTTAAGTAAACTAATTAAACCTAAATTTAATTTTTTTTTTAATCTATGAACTTACAATACACAATCTATGCATAGTAGTTCGCGGTACAGCCGGTACGGTATTGCTATTTTATCTTACGACCCCAGTGGAAAGCAAATGGTTATTTATGAGCTTTTAATTCCTCATTAAAGTCAAAACAAACACCCTGTTTTTTGTTATCGTCTGTGTTTCTAGTGTTTTTGAATGTGTAAACCTGGCTTCAGTGCGTTAGAACGTGCACTAGCGGATCCAGGATTTAATTTTGGGGGGTGCTTCAGCCCGGAAGCTTTTTTTTTCATAAAAATAACGATATTTATTTTGGAAAAACAGAAAGAAACTAACTACCTATACGAAATGGTGTTTAAGTGATTCCTTAAGTCCTTTTAAATGTAATTAAACCAACAATAATACTTTAAGAGGTATTTTTAAATTTTTTTCCCCATAAAATGTGGTTATGTTTTACCATTTTGGGGGAGGGCTTCAGCCCGAAAGCTCCCCCCCCCCGTAGATCCGCCCGTGAGAACGTGTGAGATCAGCTGTCATAAGTCAAGTTAATGAAGCGAGAGAAGAGACACCACCAGTTGGCGTTATTCAGGACTGACATGTCATTTGTAATGTTACAGACAGGACTGATTGTCCATTTTGTATTTGACAGGTGCGAATGTAAATATGAGTAGGTATATTATTTGAAATCTGGACACTATACAGCACTCTGAAAAATAGCATTGAAAAATTTGAGAGGAAAATACTTCGTACGATTACCAGAGCTATCTGTGATCAGAGTAGTAACATATGGAGAGGAAGAACTTAATGAGGTTGGTTATTAGTGAACACAGAAGGCCTCAACAGAGCGTGATCAAAGAGAAAAAAAAAAAAGAGACTCAATGGATAAAGAAAAGGCTAAGAAAGGAAGACCTCGAGTGTCAGGCGGATGAGCACCCTAATCACTCTCGGTCTGCGAGTTAATAGGTGAATCTTAAGACATGGCAGGACCTTAACCACCAACGGAGGGATGAGTCTCCAGACTTTGTAGAAGGAAGAAGAACCATAGAATGGATGAGTCTCCAGACTTGGTATATGGGGCAGCAGGTAAACGGATGATATCCAGACCATGACATACTAGTAATATGATGGAAAACTTGTGTTTGCCGGAGTAACCTATGATTAACTGAAGTTTACTAGTTCAAAACCAGGTGCCGGAGGGACTTTAACTTTGGCACAATTCCTCCGCCTTCCCTCTGGACTGGAAAAATCCCGTATAACCTAAAAAGACTGAGGAGAAAAAAAAATAATAGATACATTGGATAAGGGAAAATTCAGATTGAATAAGGAACCAAAAAAGTGTATAATATGTACAGTTCAACTCTGGGAGAATAATACTTCTGACTTGGAGAAGATGATAGCCCTCAAGAACATCCATATGGAGGAAGAAACGTGTGTAACTAGAATAAAAAAAACTGAACTGACTAAATATCTTCCTAGATAATTTTTTTAAATTTATTTATTCAGAAATTTAACAATTTCTCACATGGACAATAATTATAGTGCGATAAGCACATTCACACCATGTATACCGAAAACATAAAACAAACAAAATCAAAATAATTCAGTAAAATAACTTAAACAGAAGTAAATTTAAAAACACATTCACACCTATTTTTTTTTCCCTGTTCTTTCCTACCTCGTCTTTTAGGCTATACGGGATTTTCCCGGACCAGAGGGTGAGGGCGTGGAATTTAAAATCCCCTCTGGGACCGGGACGCGAACTCGTGACTTTTTTTCATATCATAGAATCATATATCCGGTTGCCGGGCAACGGCGGTGCAATGCACACGCGTTAGCCCATTCGGCCAACCCGCCCTCACATTCACACCTGTATACAATATATACAATCAGATAGGGAACCTCAAGCCAGGCTTGTCCATCTAACTATAGAGGAAAAAGCGGAACTCAAAGAGATCTCTGCGCTACTCTTTCAACCGCGTCACTGGTGCTAAAGCCAGCGGAGATTGAGCGATAGCGGTTTATTATTTATTAGCGGTTGTCTTGAGTGGAGACCTAGATAATTTAAAAAAGAAAACAGGCAACAAAAAAAACCCAATCTGTAGATATTTGATTTAAATATTAGCAAGCTCTATTAGAGCAGAAATCAATACCTTCTCAATGCAGAGTTGTAAATGAAAGTTGGTGATGTGCGCACCAGTTGTTTTAATAACCACTCATTTTATAAGTGAACCATTACATTGTCGTTCGATGTGATTGTCCAAAAAATGATTACAAATTGAATTATTGCTAGGAATTGACCAAGTAATTTTTCCCACCGCTAACGAACTGATTTCTCTTTAGCTGTTTTTGCCGTAAGCTCTGAGGTGAGGCTGCGGTCTCCGTTTGAATATTGATGTTGAACCGAGTTATTTGCGACACAGTTGGGTCACGTTTCACTTACTCTCTTCACAAGGTTGCGCCTTTTCGAAACTGTCTCTTGTTTCAGGAAATATTCCGACAGGTGTATTAGATTTTATTTTTTCGAGTTTAAGATGCTTTCAAATTAATGATTTATTTTTTTTCCATCAGCCTTAGGAGTCGGAAAACGTCGGGAGTAGGTGAAGGAATATATTGTCTAAAGTAGGATTTACGAATGTAGATGAGTAAAAAATTCCTGAATGTAGTAACACGAATGACAGAAGATTACTTAAAGAAACTAGTTTCATATCTAAACCAACAGCGTAAATATTGGAACGTAGAGTGAGGAGTTCTAAGATGTAGGAAGGTTTTTATTGATACCTAGATCTTAGATGGATTATTTCAAAATTATAATCATATTCTGGACAATAATTTTTGTTTATATACATACACTGACATAGTAAGCTCTTGAATTATTAGACTGAGTTACATACCACTTTTTATCAAATTATTAACATCCGCCGGAAACTTCGTGGATAGCTTCATCTCACCGTAACCTACAACTGTTTTATTTACGAAAACTCATGGAATTGGGCGAGTTTTCAATCTGGAGATCGGAAAACTTTGTCTATTTAATTAGATAATAAAAACTCGTAAATACCTATTTCCTTTCCACTTGGATCGTAAGATAATTTGATAACAAAATCGGGAAAAAAGGTGGTATGCAAAAATTTTAGGCCATTTGGCCTATATAACCTCGTTATTTTGATATCTTGGGGGTGTAGCCGAACGTTGCAGTATTATTGAAGGCAACCCTTTTTTCTCGATTTTTTGCTCAAATTATCATACTATTCAAGGAAAAAGCAAATGAGTTTTTACGAGTTTTTAGTATTTATTTATTTGTTTTTATTGTTGCCTCTACCCTGCAGGGTCATTGACAACACTTCCTATTTATATTCTATTGTAGAACTTTATTATTTTTAAAAATTGTAAGGTTTTTTCCAAGGCGTTTTTGTTGTCACTGAGGTTTTCTTTTAGGCTCTGAGCCATATCGTGATTTTCCCTTACATTCTTAAATACTGGGCAGTCTTGGATGATGTGTTGGATAGTTCTTTGCACCTTACAGCTCTCTCTAGTCGGTGGGTCTAGTCCTCTTAGTAAGTAGGCATGTGTAAATTCACAATGCCCAATTCGTAAGTTTGAGTTTTTAGTAGCTAATTAAATAGACAAAGTTTGCCAATCTCCAAATTGAAAATGTCCCAATTCCAAGAGTTTTCGTAAAAAAAAATAGCTGTAGGTTACGATGAGATGAAGCTATTCTTGAAGTTTCAGGCGAATGTTAATAATTTAATAAAAAACAATTATATTTAGTAAGACTTTAATACTATTGTGAAACCATATGATTGCTAATCTCGATATTCATCATCACCACACTGGCGCGATAACCGATCACCTGGGCTGGGCAACCTCTAAAAGACTCCCTCAGTAGGCATAATCCTAGGATGCAGCTGTCGAGTTCCGGTTTTGTATAAGGTCTCTTTCTTCCACAGAGTGTCAAGCCACCTTGCTCTAGATCTCCCTACTCTTCTTGTTCTGTGCAGTTCCTCCGACATTAGAATTTTAGGAATCTCAGAATCATCCATTTGTGGGGTATGGGCAGCTCCAAGTAACCTTCCAATCTTTTTGAAGTTGGCCTCAATATCCACCTCGTTATAGAGCTCCTGAAGTTCTCGAT